CACTTCTCTGTTTTTTCTCTCGACTGTGTTAAATTTGGCGAAACCTGAATTGCCGAATCGGCATTGGTAGTGTCGACGTATAGCTGTTGGATAGCAGAAAGGGACGAAAACTATCCTGCCACTGTGTATGACCTCCTCTTCGTTGCTGTCAGCGAATATTCGTTTAGGATTGAAGAGTCTTTGCTGATCTGGTGTTGAAAGTGAAGATTGCAACGGCTCGTCGCCATTAGGTTGTGCAGTTCTTGTCTACGAATCGTGAACCTTTTGATGTTAGTTTCCAAAACTATTTTTTGTAGAGCATATTGCTGTTTCAAAACTATGCACCACGGATATAGCGTTGCAACGTGGGTGCGTCGCGACTGGGGTTCTCAGTGTTCGATTTTTCTGCACATTTCGTTCAATGATGCGCAACGTTTGGTGTAGCGATGTACTATTGATTGTAAACAGTTTATTTATGAGAAACTAAGAGGGCAGCTGTATTAGATTGTGAGTTCATTTTCTACACTCTGCATGGTTTTCTGTGATTTATGATGGAACCACTTTCTACTGATAATAACTGCCGTTGCTCAAGTCAATTGACCTGACTGATTGATTGACATCTGCCGCACATGTTTCTTGTTGTTTACGTTCGTGTGACAGGAGCTTGTCAGCCTTTTAAGCTGTACCCTGATTGTGCTACCGGCATGATAGCGAAACGGATAAGCAGTGGTTTCATAGGCTTTTGTTCTCTCAACCATGTATCAGTAAATTGATTACGGTTACAAGCGCTTCTTTGGTTCAGTGGGTCCCAAGGAATGTAACTGTTGCGAATTTGTATAGCTTTTTCTTGCGATTGTGCTTTACGCTGTACTTTTTTCTGCGAACCGTGTTAGACCATGAACTCTTATCATAATCCTGCGTGATTGCGCTTTATATAGCTTTGAGGCAAAAGAGTAAAGTGTTGCCTCACGAAAATACTGCCACTCAATATTTGTCTTTTTTCCCTTCCAGTCGTATGAGGTCATTGATTCGATAGGCAAATGCATTAGTTATCGTTCATTCACTGTCATGGACTAGTTCATCAGTGTATCCTTGAACGTGCACTTTCATACCATGTTTGTAGTCTACTGTATGGCACTTTTCTCACATGTACAAATCGTTTTAACTGACATTTCCATGCAGTGTCTGTTATTGATCTGTTCCATACTCACTTCCTGTGCAAGCTGGCAACTGACTTGGTTTTCCACAAGGTGTTTTTCGTTGCCAATAACTTATTTCCTTGACTTTTCTTCTGTTTAATGTAGTAAGGTTTTATTGTCATTTTAGAATCTTTTGTGTTATTTTTATTTTTATATGTATTCAGTCTATAACGCCTATCATATTTTAATTTTCAGCAACAATCCTATCGTTGTCGGTCAAGATCATGCAGGCCTACCCAGGATCTTACAAATTATCTGCGATTTTGTCATAAAGCAGGCTTTCTCTAACGCGAGCGATCCCGTCCTGCAGCGGATGTTGAATGTTGTACGGCAGCTACAAGTATATCATTTTGAATATGTAATATCGGCATCGCTATGCTTGGGACAATCTGTGAATGAAATAAGCCGGTTTGTGTCCATTGAAAAGTCGGTCTTCTTTACACTTTCATGATTGGGTTGAATTTTGCCCTTTTTTATCATTAAGTTAGTGGTGGGGTGCGCTGGACTTCATGTTCCGTAATCAGCTTGGAGTGCCATATTTGAAAGACTGAGTCGACAGCATCTACGTGGTAAGCATAGTATGTACTCTGCGGTTTCCTTCCGATGTAATGGTACTGGTACTCATGTATCAGTCTCAAAAGGAAGCAAAGCAGTGACCCAACAAGGAGTTGATCCTGGCTCTACTCGATTTTAAGTCTGACTGGGCAATTATGAATAAGTTGCGGTTAGATAAAGTTAGCAGTTTGTTAGACTCTCTTTTTTGTTGTATTGCGTGAAATTCATGAAAGTCTGGGGTTACGGTATGCATAGTAAATTATTCAACTTCAGAATAGATAATCGTCGACCCGTAAAGTTAGGTTAAATTTTTTGGGCTAACTCTATAAAGTCCTGTGTCCACCCTTTGGATTTTTTAATTTTCAGTCTATCAGAATTCCATTATAATTTCTGACAGGTTGACCTAGTTTTTACGATCATTTGATCATCTATATGTTATCAAGTTCGCTAAACTTGCTGTGCATCTTTGTGTTTTAGGCGAATCCCGATTTATTCAATTCCTGCGTTTCATCGCTGACCCCGGAACAGGCGACCGCCCTACACGCTGCCCTGCAGTAACTTTACTGATTCGAACGTCCTGAACTTACACCAGTCTCGTTGGATTCGTGAACAAAACATCGATCGATACGAATTGTAGGACGAAGTATCTGGCCGTTATATGAAATAATAAAGTGTATTCGTTTCACTTAATTGTAACTTTGAACACTGGAAGCATTCTTTTGGCAATTTCTTTCATGGATCTTGCGGCGCGGCGTTAATTTCCGTTTCTGC